GATAAACTAGACCAAAACAAAAACAAAAACACATTAATTAATGACGAGAATAATGAATATTTGGGGTACAGAAGAAGGAAGGAAGAAAGAGAACACATTGGCAAGTCTCATATCACTCATGTCCTACTTGTTATTCTTATTCAGCATATTTGTTTGTTTGAGACCTTTATGTAAAACATTCTCATTGAATAAACAAGCCGTTAATCTCATTGAATAACTGGCTCAATACACCTCTTGTTTTATTTCATCTTCGTGTTAGTCCGATGCATTCATCTCTTGTCTAAAAGCTGGCTAGTTCCTTTTAGGCAAGCCGACAATTTTTTTTATCATAACGTAAAGATCAAACCCAATGGAATTCCTTAATTTAATGGACCTTTTTTCTATTCAAATAAAATGAATCAACACGTCCAATCACAAAGTAGAAAGGTCCGGGTAATTTCATAATGAAAATTACGAACAAGATTGGTAACTACAAATTCACAGAAGTCAGAGTTAAATTTTGAACAACCCAAATTTTGTGCATTTATTCGCATCGAACCTCCGAATACTTCCAAAACATTTTTAGTGATTGAAAACTAATGACATCTAAATATTTAGGACCCTCTTAATTAACCAATCCGAATTTGCCATGTAATCTATATATAATAGCAATCTTAAAAAAATAAATATTTTTCGGTTGTGTCTTTTAGTAAAAAAGCGTTTGGTGGTTATTTCTAAAATTTGCATCTTTTCGATATAACCGTTTTGTCAAGAGTTGCGTCTTTTCCAAATAACCGTTTTATGGTTTTTTTTCCAAGAGTTACGTTTTTTAATATAACCGTTTAGTCAATAGTTGTGTCATTTCAAAAAAACCGCTTTATGGTTATTTTTAAGGGTTACGTCTCTTCGGAAAAAATTTCGTTTTGCCTATATATATATGATCAAATAATAGTAGAACAACTAGTATTTAAGTGAGTATAGTTTCATGAGCATTTCATCAAATACAAAGCTTTAATTTAAGTGTTTTATTTCTCTACATACAACTTATTAGTCGAAAGATGGAAGGCAAAACTGTGATTTTAAGTGTTCTCATAATGAATATGATCATGGTGCAAATTCAAGGAAAAGAGAAGAGCTGCTTCCCTAACGCGAATGGTAGAAATTGCTATCTTGTGTGCCGTTTAGGTTTAGCGCTAAGAAGAATACAAATTAACGAGAAACCATGAATCTATATTTTAATCAAATATATATTTGAGAAAATTAAACGTATTCTAATATCCTATATTGAATTAATATCCTATATCTATATATAATAGTTGTTAGGGTCGGATTTCACCTGCTCAACGTCAGCGTTCAAATCTTGACCAAACCAAGACTCTTGACGCCTAAGACAATACGGCCCCTAAGTCATCTCGCAYGATAGAGCAAGCGATCGCCTTAGGTCGCTTGGATCCACCAACGACCATCACCGAGGACCCGACGTGGAATGGCACCGATGATCTCTCGATAAGCGCCGACGACGATGATGACATCGGCGTCACTGTTCACATCGGCGTCACTGTTCACATCGGGTCACTGTTCACATCGGGGCACTGTTCACATCTTGTCACGTCTCCGGCGAGAAACGAAGTCATCCAAGATCCGGTGGCATTGGACCCGATGACCGATGTCTACGGCGGCATGAGGAGGATTCGAGTCGATAACCTCTCGACACGTACGAAATGGCGGTGACGATCAACTGGGTTGGGCTTCGCCTGTAGACCAATTAAGACGGCAAGACCAGACATCTTCAGGAAATGGACATAACACCCACGGGAGCTTGGAGCCTCAAGACCGAAGCCCAGTCCAGTCACGAAGCCCACTTRGGCGAAACRGACATAGGCGAAGAGGGAATCCGCGAAGACTTAGGAAACTTAGCCGACTTAGGAACGTTATATATAGTTGATGTAAAAACCCTTGGAGAGGGATCTGCAACTCTTTGGACAAAAGCATACACAATAATAACAAACGTTTCTCTTTGCTCATCGTTTCTCTCGTAGCTTAGCCTAGAAATCTCTGTCTCCTCACGAAATCCTTACAAATCTAATTGTGCTAGTTTCGACTCCCCACAATAGTAATCCTAAAAAAAAAAAAATTTGGTTGTGTCTTTTCGTAAAAAAGCGTTTGGTAGTTATTTCTAAAACTTTTATCTTTTCGATATAACCATTTTGTCAAGAGTTGCGTCTTTTCCAAATAACTGTTTTATGGTTTTATTTTCAAGAGTTGCATTTTTCAATATAACCGTTTTGCCAGTAGTTGTATCTTTATAAAATAACCGTTTATAGTTATATTTAAAGGTTACGTCTCTTCGAAAAAAATTGATTTGCCTATAAAAAATTTTAAACTCTTTCTCTCATTGAACATTTTATTAGTCATGGCTATTGGAACTATAATTCACTTAAAGCATAACAAAGATAAAAAAAGTCATTCTATTATATTAATTAAAATTATACAAAAGTATTGATATTTTTACTATTAACGAAGTTCTAAAAATTCTTGATTTGTGTAAAGAATTTTGGATTTCTTAGACAATACAAAGTTTATGAAAAATGTTATAATAGCAATCCTAAAAAATAAATATTTATAGGTTGTGTCTTTTCGTAAAATATTATTTTGTGGTAATCTCTAACAGTTGCCTTTTTCGATATAACCGTTTTGTCAAGAGTTGCGTCTTTTCTAAATAACCGCTTTATGGTTATTTTTTGTCAAGAGTTGCATCTTTTCAGTGTAGCCATTTTGTCAAAAATTGCGTCTTTTCAAAATAACTGTTTTATGGTTATTTTTAAGGACTGCGTCTCTTCGAAAAAAATTCGTTTCGCCTATAATTCTCTAAAAAATATCAAACAACTAGAATTCATTTTTCATCTGATTCGTCAATGAGAAACGCACAACGGACGCAGAGGGAGCAAGTTATTGATTCTTGATCTTCTTCTTTAGGATGAAACTGTAAGAATTTCAATCACTTTTACATAATCGTTGACTTATTTTATTATAAACAAAGCTTAAGATAAATCTTTTTTATTTACCATATCAGAAGAAGGTTATTATTTTATATTTTTTGGAAACTTTCAAAAGAAAGTTTAAACTAAATCATTAGTAGTTTTTTATTGTGGGACTAACTCCAGCAAAAAATTCGTCTCCCATCATGTATTCGATAAACCTCATAGGCAGATTCACCATTGACGGTGATGTTAGGGAGATTTGACATGTCAAACATGAAAAAAGGTAGGAAGTCATGGTTGTC